ATATATATATATATATATATATATATATTATTGTATGTATATAAAAATAACTACTAAAACTGGCAACAAAAAATAACAAAATAACTATATGTAGACATTAAAAACACTAATCTTATTAGTTAACTTTTTTTTAGTGTTCAGTGACACATGACCCCTTCAGAAATCATGATGATTTGCTGCTCTGTTATTATGAGTTATTATTGGTGCTCATTTATTAATAATGGTATATACTACCATCAATGTTGAAAAAAGTTTTTACGGTTTAAAACTTTTGTGGAAATTTATAAATATATGTTTTTGAACGATTGTTTGATATATAGAAAGTTCAAAGAGCCATTTATTTGAAATCGTAATCTTTTGTTACATTATATGTCTTTACTGTCACTTTTGATCAATTTAATGTATCCTTGCAAAAAACAAGTGTTAATTAAAAAATACAGCCACACTTTAGCTTGGGGACCATTTCTCACTATGAACTAACTATTAACTGTGACTTCTGCCTCAATAAACTCCTAATGTGCTGCTGATTAATAGTTAGTAAGGTAGTAGTTAAGTTTAGGTATGGGGTTTAGGATTAAGAGATCATGCAGAATAAGACATCAATATTAGCTTTTTAAGTACTAATAAACAGCCAATATGCAAGTAATAATACGAAACTGTTTTCAACATTGATAACAATTTGTTTCTTTTGATGGTAAAGTATATATGTTTTTATGGAGCTGTCAATTACTGAAACAAAGCTAAAAAAAAACACCTGACTGCTTCAGAAACGTCCCACACAAGAATCAAGCAGCAGCCTCCGTCTGTGTCTGTCCATCCACACGATCCTTTGTAGCAGAACGAGCTGGCAGTTATGAAGCCACTGAGTGTTTGTACACACAGTAGCGAGTCTTAAACGCACGGCCACAATGATTGGGCGGCCCTGTAGAGGGAGAAGAGCAGTGGGGAGAGAACGCAGCCCTGAGGAGCTCCGGTGCTGATGGTGCAGGTGCTGGATGTGAGTTTTCCCAGCCTCACTAGCTGCTGCCTGTCTGTCAGGAAGCTGGTGATCCACTGACAGATGGATGTGGGTACAGAGAGCTGGGTCAGTTTATTCTGAAGGGTGTCTGGGATGATGGTGTTGAAAGCGGAGCTGAAGTCCACAAATATAGTTGTTATTAATGCAATTATAGTGTAGTCCAAAACAATATTCAGTTCCCCTATATAATATAATATTAGCAGATCTATATCTGTGTAGATATACAGGTAACAAATGCAGTATTAAGAATCAAGCGTGTAAAATTATTTTAATTCATATATTGTATTAATATAATTTAAATATAATAAAAATTTATATTATTCATATAGTAAAACAATCTAGCTACATTAAAATGCTTAAAAAAACATACAATTAAGTAAACACCCCCAAACTTCTGAAATCATTAAATGAATTGTGCTTGATTAATTAACCTACATACGTCTTCCAGTTTCTGTTATTAAATCTATGGTGTAGACAGCATCACTGATTATGAGTTCTATAGTATTTTGTCGCGCCGTACTGCTCGCGTCCGGTGTAGACACGGTGTAACATTGGTTTTGCTTTGTTTCACAGAACGAATTGTTGCCTGGGTTGCGTACGTATGTGTGGGGCAGAGCTATCAAAATAGGGACGAGACCCTTTTGGGGTAGGGGCGTGTTTGTTTTGGTGATTTCAAATGTCAACATTGGCTACCAAAAATCACTTACCCCACCTTTAATATACTATACTGTCCAACACCATATTTAAAGGGCCCCTGTATAACTATAATATTAACAGAGCTATAACTCTGTATATATCCAGGTGACAACACACAATCATGTGTATGTAAACTTTTGAACAAGGTCATTTTTTGTAAATTCAGGTATTATTTTGTTTTGTGGAAGCAGGGCAGCAGTGAAAAAACAACAACAACATATGATCCCTCTTATTTTGTTAAAATTATTCTGCTGATTCTGTGAGGTGTATGTAAACTTAAGACAGCAACTGTAAATGTGTCACATGTCCTCTGCTTAGAAACGCTGGATCATGTGTTCTCTTGTTTTGACTTCAAATTTCCTGGTATTCGGTTTTTGTCATGTGCTTTCTGTCGTCTATTCGTACTAGCAGCAGTGTGTGTGTGTGTGTGTATGTGTGTGTGTCAGGACTGATGGGTGAGTGGTTGCTAGATGATGTATAGCATGTGGTCCCTTTAATATGTTTCCTGTACGACTGACAGCTGGGTCACAGCACACACACACACACACACACACAGGGATCGCACTTTAAAAAGTAACAGCAGACTGTCACATCTGCTGCACAATGAAAGCTCACAAAGGGAGCATTCAGAGCTCAAATGATGAAACACAACTCTGACATGTAGACAGATCTGCACACGTACGGACTGCTGAAACCGCTCAGCATTTCTTTTATAATAAGTATATTTAGTTTAGTCATGACTATTTTCCATCCTCTCTGAACCCTAGAATTATCTGCTGCTGTGTCTTTAAGACTCTTCACATACAGTATCTATCCTTCTTCCTCACTACTGTACTGTGATCGTGTGTGTGTGTGTGTGTGTGTGTGTGTGTGTGTGTGTGTGTGTGTTTCTGCTTATATGTCTCTGAGCAGATCTGGAGTCAGTTGCAGCAGTTGTCAGGTAAATGAGCACTAAGCTACAGTTTACACATGACCACATTTTCAAGCGTTGGACCATTAAATTAAGTTGAAATCTAACCCTATGTATCAACTAAATATTTACGGAAGCCTCCGACCAGGAATGATGGTTGACATAAAATGGCATTAGAGCTTTTAGAGTCATTTTAAACCTTTCCAAATGCAAGTGCAAGACAGTATTCAAAGGCCCTGAACCACTGACAACACTTCTGTCGTAATCACATAGCTGCTTATTACAAACCTTGTGTTTTTGTTTTTTTACTTAAACTAGGAGTGATAATATTTTAAAATGAGATAATTATAATTAAAATAATTATATTATGTAATTCTATAAATTTCGAAAAAGAGTGTTCACACCCTTTAAGCATTCAATTAATAAATGAACTCTATAAGCAATGAATTAAATGCATTTTTACTCACAAACACCAATTTCATGATAAACTACACAATTCTATTTTAATTAAATATTGAATTAAACGATTAATATATCATTTATAACTTCACATAACTAGAAAAAAAAGTATATTCAGTATAGAAATGTCCATGATTTCTTAAGATTTAATTAATTTCCATGGCTTTGAAGGTCTAGAAATCACACTTCTGACAATGGCATACTGTGTGCTGTACAGTATGTACTGTATGCTGACTACTATTTTACTAAATTTGGTTTAACCCAGCGATCATTGTCTAGTTCTCATGTCTCTGATCATAGCAATTCAATCAAATAACTATAGTCTAGAAACAGATGCTGAAAATATGTCATTTCCGGTTCATTATTCACACCAGAAATGGAAGTTCAGGTCAACCACATTGCATTGTGGGATACAGTAATGAGTACTCAGATCCATACTACACATCCATAAAATGACTGACCACCGCAAACAAATGATGAGCAGAGAGTGGAGGATAAAAGCAATGAAAACCTCTGTACCTGCAGCCTGAAGCACCAGCTGGAGTCGAGCTTTGGCCTGTGAAGCACACAGAGAAGCACATTAGAAAACGGTCTAAACACTGGATTAAGAGGAAATACAATCATAGAAGACGACTCCAACCTTAATAGAGAAATGCTACATAAGGGCTGGCTGTAATAATTTAAATTAATTTTTAATTAATTTAAATTATTTCTGACACGTTTGTATACTATTTGCTTTCATGCATCTTTTATGCAAAGTCTTAAAAATATGTTTTGAAACGATGCAACAGAAGAACCATTTTTTGGCTCCTCAAAGAACTTTTCAGTGATCAGTTCTTAAAAGAACCAGTTTAAAAAAATATTTTAATAATCATTTTAAGACCTTTTTCCATTATAAAGAAACTTCTGAGCATTGGAAAGTTCCATGGATGTTAAAGGTTCTTCATGGGACCATCGATGCAAATAAAGAACCTTTGTTTTTTAACAGTGAAGTGAGTTAGTTTTACATTTACTCCATGTTGATCGCTTTATGCGTGCTGCACTTGGAACACAACTTCCTTTAGCCAGATGGTTTAGCAAGGTTTGCATAAAGAGAATGTAACTTGAATCATGCTGTAGTTAAATTTTTAAGCTGATTAGTTAAAAAATATAAATCGCTATCTTGAATCGGTCAAACAAAAACTAAACTACGCCCTACGTTACATAAAAACATTTAACAACACAGCTTCAGTGGCAGGGTTAAAAACTAATAATATTCTAGAGGAAATCACATCTTCAGTCATGTACAAAAGACGATCGCGAGGGTGTGTGCGCGCGTGTAAACATGCACACGAGGGCTAAGCGTGTCGAAATTTCCAGCGCGGTGGCTCTGGAAGAGGCTGGGATATAATTCCAATATCTCCACTATTAGATTCCAGCCTCTTAATTGTCAAGAAAGAAGAATGATGAGGGAGGGAAGTTATAAAGGGCTATAGATTGCTCTCGAACGCAGGAGAGCCCGGTGTGTGTTGGTGTTATGAAGGTGTGTAGGATTACAGAGAAATTAAATGCTAATAGGATGAAATTTAAATGTGGATCCTGCGAGGCTTACCGTAGCTCTTCGGAGAATGTGGGTGTCGCTGACAGCACTAACGCACATTATTCAGCAGAAATTTGATTTATCAAACTGTAAAGGTGTCACTTTCTAAAAATGTCATTTGGGGTGATGACAGGGAAATATAATGACCCACTTTAATGTAAAACTGTCACTCCGCCGTGTCTCAGATGACAAACACATCAAGCTCCGCTCGGAAATCTGCTTGTTTTTGACACCTCGCCTTCGATAACTTTTACAGAAACACGGGCTGCTCTTCTCTCTGGTCTTTCTGAGCGTGCTTCTTTTACTTTTTTTCCTCCTCTATATTGTTATCAGAAGCATATCAGACTGTTTCAGGACATCAATCAAGCAGACAGAAATAAAGGAAGGATTATTGAATGTTCAGATAAACCCCCTCTCCTCCCATTCAAAGCCGTCTTCTCTTCTCTCTTCCATTACAATAACATCCAGTCATGCCGCAATAACGAGGCGGAAGAACAGACGGATCGCACGACTTAACTGGAAGGATAATAGCTGGCAGGGCAATCATCTTAGTTACAGTTTATTATGAAATTTCTACCATTGCATTTGCATTTGTTTCAAGTGACCCTGAGGCAAGTGTCCGGAGATATTACACCACCGAGTGTTTAGACAAGAAAGAAAAAAGGAAAACACACAAAAGGGCGAAAAAAAAAAAAAGAGCATCAATATGAAGAAAAATATAATTAGTTTCAAAGGATGACAAATGGGTGGCGGATTAATAATTAGATAAGTTTGTCAAATTATGAGACAGGCCTCATTCTGGCAAACACTGAGCAATAAGAGAGAGAGAGCTGATAAAATTTGACACAGATATGATACAAATAAGCTACAAAACACTGTTTGACACCCACATCCCGACTGGATTCAGAACACTAGCCGATCTAGTCATAACCCACAGTCCTAACTAACCGGTTAACGACGGAAGCGGAAGCTCTGAATCCTAATGAAGACCGATCTGTAAGAAATAGTTACAGAAACTGCATAACAGAAAGCGGTAAACGTGCAACCATGCTGCAGGGCTGCTTGAAAAAGCATCCTCACTGATAGTTAAAACTTTAAAGGGGTGTTTACACAACAGCGTTTTCAACTCAAAATGTGTTTTGGCCGTTCATTTACATGACAATGGCGTTTTGGGGGCTTATAAAATTTTTTTATAAAAAGTTTTTGAAAGCAATACTATTATCATCTCCATGTAAACTACAAAAATGCTAATTTGTGTGACATCATGCATGTGTATTATGTATTCAGTCTACAGACATATGTGAGTACATACTTGAAGAATGAGTAAGTGCATAGATGCATAGTGTTTCCTTACAAAGTGACATCGCCAACTACTGGCCTGGCATGAATAATGCCGTGTTTTTAGTAGTTTTCACTAGGCCTGGGCGATAAAACGGTATCGATATTATCGACGGTACACCTTCATCGATAACGATATAAAAAATGTTCGATATAGCACACGATATAGGCACGTGCTATATCGTGTGCTATATCGAACATTTTTCTATCGTTATCGAAGAAGGTGCACCGTCGATAAATATCGATACCATTTTATCGCCCAGGTCTAATCAAACATACCTAAAGCAACTAATTAAGGTGTTCAGGACCACTTGAAAATTAAAGGCAGGTGTGTTTAATTAGAGTTGGAGCTGAACTTTGCAGGACAGTCGATCGCCAGGAGCAGGATTGGACACCCCAGGTCTAATAGGTGAAAAAAAGTGGAAATTCTGTAAGAAATTGAATTTCTAACTGTCAGTTCTGCTCTGTTTTTCTTGTATAACAGGTTATGGACGAATGTATCCAGTGACGGGGCAAAAAAAAAAACAAATTATATTGCTCTGTTTTAAAAAAGATTATAAAAAATGTCAATAATTATCGATACCGAACGATATGAAACATATATCGTTGATATATTTTTTAGCTATATCGCCCAGCCCTAGTTTTCACCCATCTATGAGAACTGGGATCGTTTGACACCATTGTTGTATGTACATTTTCAAAAGTGCAAAGGGAAAACTTTTCCATTTTTAGTACAATCACTTTTAGTCGTGTAAACGAACCCTTAGAGAATATTTAGAGAAAAACAATGGTTCATCCAAAAATTAATCAGTTAGTCATTTTATTGTCATTTCAAACCTTTTGAAAAATGAAACCAGACTTTCATTTTGTGAAGAAAAAAAAAAACAGTTCGGAAGTCAATGTGTATTTTATTTTTTTTTTATTATCACAGGTTTTGTATTTATTTTTGGGAAAAACTGAGGAGCATAAGCTCCGATCAATGAGGCCTACAAAAAAAGAAAAGAAAATAAATTTGGTGATATTACAGCGTAATGAGAGATTTATAAGCAGTTTTTTGTGGGCCCGACATTTTTGACCAGGAACACCACAAGTGTAACAAAGTGGGAAAAAAGTCCCAAAAATGTACAAAAAAAGGAGGTACGTTGCTATACCCTGTGTGAGTAAAGTTTTAGTCCAATAAATGTGCAGACAAAATATACAACCCAGTAGAAAACAGTAATATTGTGAAAGCTGTATTTTCAGCATCATTACTCCAGTCTTCAGTGTCACATGATCTTCAGAAATCATTCTAATATGCTGCTCAAGAAACATTTCTGATTATTATCAATGTTGAAAACTGTTGTGCTGCACAATATTTTTGTGGAAAATGCTGTTTCAACTGACACTTTGATGAATCGAATGTTTTAAAAAATGGCCTTTAAATCTCCACTTGATTTCTGAGCTACAGGGTAAGTGTGTGTGTAATAAATGTAGTCAAAGCAGAACTGCTCCAGCAGTCTCTCACAAACAAGGCTTGGGCAGATGATGGGTGCAGGTTTGATGGGGTTTAGTGTCCCGGTGAGAGCAGCGTCTATCTCTCATTCACTCACACACAGCCGTCCCACAAAAACACTGAGCCAAACCAATGATCTCAATTACCACACCGCAGCACCACATCAGTGCTCAGCGCTCAGCTCCCTACGGTCTACAGCTGCACTCATCCTCCGCCTATACAGCCCACATCCATCCGCTTCTGCTTATAGAGTCAGATTTGAAGAACTACAGTAGTGCAGTTTAGATAAAAAAAAATAGCATGACATTTTTTACTCCCTTTTGATTTTAGAATAGCAGTGGTTGGGAAATGTTAATTTGCTGAACTGAACTTCTGCTTTCCATGAACTCAGAGAACAATTACATGCATTCGTTCCCAGTTTTCATTGCCATACATTTTCAAAAAGTCAACAAAGCAATGTTTAGACTACACTTCTGTATCCTTGTCATACAGCTTTGGAACAACTTCAAGATTAGAAAATGATGACCGATTTTTTTATTTTTGGGTGAACTGTCCCTTTAAGGAGGCATAGCGGAAAACAAGCCCATGAAGGTTATCTTCTTTAAATACTTTTAAGAAAGAAATTAATACTTTATTTTGCAAGGATGCATTAAATTAATCAAAGTGACAGTAAAGGTTTCTACACTGTTACAACAAATTCTATTTCAAATGAATACTGTTTTTTTTTAAACTTTCGATTCAACAAAAAATGTTGAAGAAAAAAATATGATGGTTTCCACAAAAATATGATGCAGCACAACTATTTTTATTAATCAGAAATGTTTCTTGAGCAGCAAATCAGCATATTAGAATGATTTCTGAAGGATCATGTGACACTGAAAGCAGTTTTGTTCACAGGAATAAATTACATTGTAAATATAATCAAATAGAAAACAGATGTTTAACTGTAATAATATATTACAATATTACAGATTTTACTGTATTTTTGATTAAATAAATTCACCATCGGTGCAATTCTAAACTTCTGAACAGCAGTATATAGTGTATATATACGGCCTATATAGTTTTTTGATTAAGTTTGATTAAATTCATCGCTCATCTCATCTGACTTCTTCATCCTCATTTATAGTCATTTTTTATTTGTTATTTCC